TCAACCACAGTCTAAGTGCCAAGCCTCCAGTATGATGGCTAGTTGTGAGTTACCAGAACCAGTTAGGTATAGTGGTTAAAGACATCAGGCTAGAATAAGGTGACCAGATTTTAACATTGGTAAAGAGGGACATTGTGGGCGTGGCTTATTTTGTGGGCGTGGCTAGCTGGTCATGTGACTGGGTGGGTGTGGCTAGCTAGTCATGTGACCGGGTGGCCATGGCTATGTGTATAGGGTAAGGTGAACAGATTTTAACATTGGTAAGAGGGACACCATTGTGGGCGTGGCTTATTGTGTGGGCGTGGCTTGGAGGCCATGTGACTGGGTGGGCGTGGCTAGCTGGTCATGTGACCGGGTGGCCATGGCTATGTGTATAGGGACTACTCAGAGGGCTGGAAAGTCATTTCTGACAGGTCCTCACACTTTTGACTGGTCCTCACACTTATGACCATCCTCACATTTATGCCCGTGCAGCATTCTTAACAACCATGTCACTCATTTCACAACTGCTTCTCTTCACCATGGTGATAAGATAGGGAAAAAAACGTAAAATGTGAAGACAGTCGTAAGTTCGAGGACTGGTCAAAAGTGCGAGGACCAGTCAAAAATAACTTTTTTCAGCCCTCTGAGTAGTCCATATGCATAAAAGGATACAGTAATTGAGAGGGATGAAGGAAGGGAAGGGAAATTAGAGTAGGAGTGAGGGTAAGAGAGGGAGGAAGAGAGAGGAGAAGGAGAAAGGAAGAGGAAGTAGGGAGGAGAAGAAGAGGGGGGGAAGAGAAAGTAAGAAGGAAAGAAAAGAGAGGTGGTAGGTTTGAGGAGAAAGATTGCTGTACAATAAAAAAGATGAAAGGGAAGAAAGCCAACCCCAAACAAATATAAAGATATTAAGATAAAGAATGAATTGTTAAACTTTAAAGAATAAAAGAGAACAAATATGAATAAATAGCAATAATTAGAAACACACATACATACAATGTATTTTCTTTGAACAGAATATTTGGCTGGTTCACAAATTTAAACAGTGTTTAGTCATTTCAATTAAATTTACAATTTCTATATTTCCTTTTTGCCATATTTATTCCTCATCTATTTTTTAAAAAAAACAATATTACCCTTCATCCTCATCTCTAATCTTAATCAAATTCAATTTTTCCCTTCTATTCTATTTTATACCCCTTCCCATTGTCATCTATTTTTATATCCATCCTCACATTGGTTAATTATGTAATTATGTAATACAGTTGTTTAATACAAATTCAACATTTTAATATAAATCAATTAGTTATATAACTATCTTTTTTGTATATTAATCAATATGAACATGAATATTCCAATTATTTCCATGCAATCCAATTTCTTACAAATCAATTAATTATACTTACCAATAATAATAAACCAAATAATTTCCCCCATATATTCCTCCAAACCACAACTTAACCATTTCTGCTTTCAACACAGTATACAATTAATAATATCTCAATTATTACAATTCCCTAGTTAAAAAGAGCTTTTTTTTCTTTTGTGTTTTAAAATCTTGAACTCTCCTCTTTTGCCCTAAATAACTTTCTATTGTTTGCACTTACTTTTTTTGGTGAGGAAAAGGAAAATAAATCTGCTGCCTAATTTTCCAACGTTGCAAGCAAACCGCAAAGCCAACAGCCTGTTTTACTTTCAGTTTCGTTTTGAGCTTGGTTTGCACAAAGAGGAAAAAAAAACTGAGCAATTTAGCAAGAGCAGAGCCCTGTGCAAATCAGCTGAGAGGGGGAAGCCGAGCTAATTAACGTAGGGCGGCCCTTTGAAGCCCCGCGGCAAGAGTTTAAACAGGTTTTTTCCCTCTAGCCATCAGCGGGGCCGGGAACCAGGAGGCAGAATGAAAAATCGGGACTTTTTTAAAACGCCGCGGGACGCGGGACAAATTGCTCAAAAGCGGGACTGTCCCGCCAAAAGCGGGACGTCTGGTCACCTTAGGCTAGAAACCAGGGAACTGTGAGTTCTAGTCCCTGTATCTGCCAACCTAACTTTGTTGGAAGAAATGTCCATCTGGGTTCAGTTCCAAGTGGGGAAGAAAGACACTGGAAACATGGAGACTGCTTGGAAAGATGGCTTTTAATGGTGGACAGGACCACATGGTTTGAGGTGGGGGCGGTGATGGAGGGAAGAGATGCTGAGAGGGCCCTGGTTTTATGCCCCCTCTGGGCTTTTGAATTTGACCTTGTATTCTGATTGGTTGTCAGACTCCCATGGGGCCATGCAGGGGCAGCTCTGTAGGCCTGTGATGGTGAACCTATGGCACGCTTGCCACAGATGGCACGCGGAGCCATATCGGTGGGCACACGAGCGTTGCCCAGCCAGTTGATTTTTGGGCCTTCCAGGCCCACTGGAAGTCAGCAAATGGGCCATTTCCAGCCTCCGGAGGCCTCTGGGGGGATGGGGAAAGGCCATTTTCACCCTCCCCAGGCTCCAAGAAAGCCTCTGGAGACTGGGGAGGGCGAAAAATGGGCCTACCAGGCCCACCATGCCATCACGTGCCAAAAATGGGGCACGTACACACATGCGCAGGGGGGCTGGGTGCATTGAATTATGGGTGTGGGCATGCACACTCGCCCCCCCTGCGCTCCCCCCCTTTTGGCACGCGACGGCAAAAAGGTTCGCCATCACTGCTGTAGGCTGTCCTAAGCTTGGTTGATTCTTGCTGGGTGATGATGTAATAAAAGGGCTTTGGGATTTTTTTTTTTTTTTTAATTTGATTTATATGCCGCCTTTCTCCGGAGACTCAGGGCGGCTTACAGTGCGTTAAGCAATAGCCTTCATACTTTTGTATATTTATACAAAGTCAGCTTATTGCCCCCACAAACTGGGTCCTCATTTAACCTACCTTAGAAAGGATGGAAGGCTGAGTCAACCTTGAGCCTTGGAGAGATTCGAACCAGCAGTAAATTGCAGGCAGCTGTGTTAATAACAGGGTGCTTTAAACCACTGTAGTACCAAGGCTCATAATAGGGATTCCTATTAGGGCTCTGCCAGAAGGAGGTAGATCTTTGTTATGTTGAATAGACTGGCCCATTGTCAAAGGTGGAGGGAGGGGCTGAGTTTCTGCCTCCCTTTTAGGGGAGATATTCTGCTCTTTTAATATTTCCTAAGATATCTCATTTTCCCAGGAGAGGGGTGGGTGCTAACTTCCTACTACTTGAAGACAAAAAGAAAATAAAAGTATATAGCCCCGGTTTACACACTAGCTTATAATTCAGTCTCAGTAAAAGGAGAATATTCATAGTTCAGGACTGAACTGAGAGGCCCTTGGTGCTCTCTGAGCTTGATTGTTTTCTTGCAGACGTTTCATGACCCAAACTAGGTAACAATATCAGTGCTAGGCCCATCACTGACGATGTTCACTAGTTTGGGTCATGAAACTTCTTGCAAGAAAAAAAAAGATTGAAAGTTGAATACTCTGCCAATACCCAGCCAATGTGAGAGGGTGGCTATGAGTCACTTGCCACGCCGAAAGGACCGGTTGGCTGTTCCCCGAAAGGATTGCCTAGACTGAGTTTGGCGTCTGCCACAATCCCTGAAGGTTGCTCAATCAGAAGATTGATTAAATCCTTGGGAATAAGCCGCTGAAAGTAGGACCCCCCCGGGTTCAAAATCATAACGAAAGGACTGCCGCTGCGAATAGGGAGCATATCTGCGGTCCAATCTCCTTTGAGAAGAAGATAAGACCTTACGTTTATCTCGTCCCTCTACTAATACTGGCTCCAATGCGTCCCCGAAGAGGCTAGATCCCTTAAATGGTGCCGATGTGAGCTTCCATTTTGATTTCGTGTCTGCTTTCCAATAGCGGAGCCATAGCAGTCTACGTGAAGTGACCGTAGAAGCCACTGCTCGAGACGCAAACTTCACCGCGTCCAGAGTCGCCTCCGCTGAATACTCAGTAGCGGCTACTAACATTAACGTCTTGGTGAAGACGCACTGCCTCGGGGGTTAGCCGGCTCTGTAATTGCCGCAGCCAAATCAGAGACTCTCTATTTAAAAAATGAAGCGGAGGAAGTCGCCCAGATAGCCCAAGCAATCAGCCCAAGCAACCTCAGAGAGCACCAAGAACACCTTATAATTCAATTGCTGGCTTAATATATTTTAAAAATATTTTTAATTGGTTTGTTATTTTAAATTGGGGCCAAATTAATATATATCTTTTTAATTGTTTTTAATGTTTGTATTGTATGTTTTTTATCTGGCTGTACACCGCCCTGAGTCCCTCGGGAGAAGGTGCGGTATATAAATTCGAAATTAAAAAAAAAAAAAAATGCTGGAAAGTGAGTCAATTCAATAAACAACAACGCACTTGGGAGTTAGGTTACCATTTATTTTATTTATTTATTTTATTTATTTATTTTCCAATTTATATACCGCCCTTCTCCCTGAGGACTCAGGGCAGTGTACAGCCGAATAAAAACATAAATTACAAACATTAAAATAGTATTAAATATATATATATATATATATATAAATTTGGCCCCGTAATTTAAGAACAATAACAAACCCATTTAAAACATTTAAAAAATTAAGAAAAAAGTTAAGCCAGCCCGGCTTGCTGAAAAAAGAAGGTTTTAAGGGCACGGCGGAAGGCACCGAGGTCTTGGATTCTCCTTATCTCTGGGGGCAGCTGATTCCAGAGGGTAGGTGCCCCCACAGAGAAGGCCCTCCCCCTGGGGGTCACCAGCCTACATTGTTTGGCTGATGGCACCCCGAAGAGGCCATCAGGAGGTTATCTTGTGAACACCACCAGCTCTGTGCCTGGTTTGCACCAGGCTTATTTAGACAATAAGATCTTGTTGAGAAGAAGAAGAAGAATGAGAAGGAAATCATTTTCCTGGCGAGCCTGCTACTAGGAACTCTTCGGTACCTCTTCTTTTTTTTTTTTTGTCCTGCAGCTATTTTAGCAAGTTTGCGGTAGCCTTGTTCATCAAAAGAATGGCAGAGGGTGGGAGCTGAAGTTACACTGAGGTGTTGGTTTTCATTCTCCAGGAAATAGCAAGTTACGAGGGCATCATGTGATAAACTGGCAGAGCTCAGTTCAGCCTCCCAGAAAAAGTTCAGCGCGCCAGCCAGAACTGCGCCTCGTTTATTTTCTCAATCCGGAACGAGCTGCTGCTGCTGCGTTTCTAATTCCCCCTCTCCTTTTTTTCCCCTCCTCTTCCTTTTTTTTTGGGGAGAAGCGTCCGAAGGGCAAGATGGATTTTGGGGTGATTGTTTCCAAGAGCGTGCTGCTATTTATCAGTTTCATCTTCTGGGTAAGTCTGGAAGGCTTCCATCCTTCTGCTCCGAACCTAAATGAACACGCAGCTAAAACTTACACAACAACTGGTGCGGTGGATGGTTGGGGGCTTCTAATAACCCACCACCAAGCTGTATTTTGCAAGGAAACTGAACCGGATGGTGGCTTGAAAGAAGTGGAGATTGACTCCCCCCTCCCCAAGTTTTTGCTCCGAATTTAGAAAAGTTTTTCTTGGGAGGTTAGCCTCAAAAGATGGGTGATGCGCTGGCCTGGTTTATAGGGTTCGCTAACCTCTATTGTGATTCTGGCTTCGGTATATTGTTTGAAAACGGCCCTTAAGGGCTTGTTAACCATAGTTTGTCGTAGTTTGTGTAAAGCCAATTCTCAGGGTTAAATTATAATCCAGGGCAATTGTCTAAACGTGGTTTTTAGATGCAGTCCCGCATCTCTGGGGTATAAACTAATTTTTGGCTTTTGTGTGTGTTGCAACTGGAATTTTCCATCATTTAAGGGGTGAGATGTACTCATGAAGAAGCTGAAATATTTGTGATGCCTTCCTTTTAACCAACACCCATTTTGTTTAAGACTTCTTCCAAAAGAACCAGGTTACAGGATGATGGCCTCCTGAAGTCCTTGCTTCTTCTGCTGATTCCCTAGCAGCAAAATTTAGGTGGAATAATTTTTTTGTTTTTGGTCTGAAATCAAGAATTGCTTCTCCATTCAGAAAAGGTAGTAGCAGACTGAGTGAAGAAGAGAAAAACTTTGTCGTTAGAAACCCAAGTTCTAGTTCCAGAGTAATAGCCACTGAAGCAATGTTTAGTGGCCATTCTAAGAAAGGTGGATTTGAACTCCCAAAATTCCCAGTCAGCTCTTAAAATAGTTGGACTTTTGCTCCCAGGGTTCCCAAGCCGACTTGAAGATTGGTGGAGTTCACCTCCTAAATTCCCCCGCCAACTTTAAGATAGGTGAAATTCAGTTCCCAGAATTCCCCAGCCAGCTTTGCTGTGGAATTGAGAAGACTGGAAAACACTGCAATGTTATTGTTCAGGAATTGAACATAAAAGGATTCCAAACTAAATCCTAATTCTTGACCATAACTGTATATCACATTGGATGATTTTGGATTTTGGATGCAGGGAGTGTGGATCTCCCAACCAAAAATATACCTCATGGAGATGTTGTGGGGATTAAAATACAGTGAATACTGCCTGTTGTATATGTTTCCTTGAATTCCTGGAGAAGTTATGATAAATCAACCAGTAGCTATCCTAAGGAGTAAACCATATAAGGTTGTACAGCACAATTGTGGAAGAAATGACTTTGGGAATAAGGAAGAAAAGTGACTTTGAGTCAATGGTTACTCAGAAACTGGCTTCAAAAGGAGTCTGGAGAATGGAGTCTTTCCCAAATCAATCCACCCTGTTTTTTCCCTCAAGGCTTTGTTATGTGTCTTGGAAATGCATCTTAAGTGGATTCTATTGTGAAACAAGTGAGATTAGTAATGGTTGCAGATTTATTGAAAATCATCCATCTATTAGTACTGGTTCTCAATTTCGGCAGCTAGTGCGGTAGAAGATGGGGAATTCTGGGAGTTGAAGTCCGCACATCTTATACGTTGCTGAATTTGTACATTCTGTTTCAAGTTCAACTCTGAATTAAGTGTACTGTAATTCAATTAGTGACCGGTGTGGATGCTGAACACCAAGAATAAAAGTGAAAGGAACTCGGGTATGTTGGGTTTAAAGCAGCATTTCTCAACCTTGGCAACTTTTAAGATGGATGAACTTCAACTTCCAGAATTTTCCATGCTGGCTGGGAAATTCTGGGAGTTGAAGTCCATCTATCTTAAAGGTTGCTAAGGTTGAGAAATGCTGGCTTAAAGACGAGAAGGCTAAGAGGAAACATGTGAACAATCTTCAGATATTGGAAAGAGGTTGTGAATGTATTTTTCATAGTTCTAGAGCAGTGGTCCCCAACCTTTTTATCGCCGAGGCCCGCTGAGCGCGCGCAGGGGTGGGGGCACGGCCCAGGAGCTTTTGCACACGGCCCAGGAGCCTTTGCGCTGCAGCGTTCATGTCCCCCGGCCGCTGCGCGGCCCGGTGCCAGGTACTCCACGGCCCGGCACCGGTCCGCGGACCGGGGGTTGGGGACCACTGTTCTAGAGGACAGGGCAAGTGAATGGAAGTGTTACAGAAGGAGATCCAAACTCTTAAGGAGGAACGTTGAGACTTGTGAAAAAAATTAAGCAGTGGAACAGACTGCCTTCTAAAGTTGTGGGTGCTCACTGGAAGCTTCAAGCAAAATCTGGGCCACTTGTCTGAAATGGTATGGAGATCCCTGCCCTGGGCAGTGTTTGTGTGTGTGTGTGTGTGTGTGTGTGTGTGTGTGTGTGTGTGTGAGAGAGAGAGAGAGAGAGAGAGAGAGAGAGAGAGGGAGAGGGAGAGGGAGAAACTAGAAGGCCTTCAATGTTCTTTCCATCTCTCTGATTCTAACAAAGAGCCCAAATCTCCACTTCAGATAAGGAGTAGCAATGTTTATTGTTGTTTATATCAGTTGCTAAGGTAGTATATTGGTTTTCTTCTGCTTTCTAATCTGTAATTCCTCCGTTAGAAGAAGGTTTCTAATGTATGGTCCTCCATATGTTGATACACAAGAGAGCTCCAGTAGTCCCCTGGCAATGGTGAAGTGAAGCTTGTCAGTATCATTTAGAGGACCAATGTTATTCAGAATGGCATTAAGACAACAGTATATATAATAATGTCTTCTGTATAAATGAATGGAAATATGTCATTTCTTTAGCATGTCACAACTCTTTAACAACTATGCCAGACTTCTTTAATCTGGTTGATCCTCTCCAAGTTTCTTGGACAAATGCCCTTCAACTTCTCAGCCAGCAGGTTGGGTAAGAATGGGTTATCTAGCTCAGGGGTCTCCAAACTTGGCAGCTTTAAGACTTGTGGACTTCAACTCCCAGAATTTTGAGAGAATTTTGGGAGTTGAAGTCCACAAGTCTTAAAGCTGCCAAGTTTGGAGACCTCTGATCTAGCTCTAAATAGGCTAGATAACCTTCTAGGATAGGTTCCTTCTGCAAACCGTCTGATCTCGAAGGCTTGCAGAAGGAACTCTGTTGATATCCCTTGCCAAATTAACTTCCACAATTGAGGCAAGAAAACTGCATGATGAAAGAAAGTTATGGGAATGAAGAACTCAAAATATCATAGAAAGAGGAAATCACAGATTAGGTACCCTTGTTGGATTGTTGATTCATTTCCGCCAAGGCTGCTCACAAGTTGTTGACTTTGGCTGGGTCCAAAAATGCTAAGATGGGTTGGACTCACTCACTCTTGGGATTGGAGTTGGAAATCCCAGAGCTATAGATTGGAAAGTTGAAAAAAAATCTCAGAAGGCAAATGGCAAAGCACTTCCTCATGCCTACCAAGAAAATTGCATGTCAATATGGTCATCAAAAGTCAAGTATGACTCGAAGATGCCTGGACTTTTAAAAGAGAAACAGGATGCACCTGTTGCTGATCTTACTAACCGCCTTCTTCTCACACTGGTTGCCCGCACCATCTTCGTCATCTTTGACAATAGTGGTGAAGACCACATCTGCTCTCTTAGGATTGCAGGCATTGGGGCTGTTTCTCAGAATCTGGATTCCTGAATAAACCCAGATGCTCAGCAAAGGGTTGGTTTTCATTTTTGGCAGAAAAAACAAAATGTGGGGGGGGGGGGGAATATTTGCTGAACCTTATAACCGTGTGTTAGGTCCCTCAAAACTGAACACACATTCACATACGGGATATTCATGAATTCCTTAGTGTGTCAACTTAGAATCGAACCTGGCAGAGCCTATTTTTCTGTTTCTCAGTTGCCATGCAGAGGGGAAAGGGGGAAGGAGATTGGAATGTTTTACTAGACACAACAGAGCATTTTCTCCTGAGAATCAAGGTCATCTCTACTGACAATGGATAAGGTTAGGGAAGGAGTGCCTAGAGAGCCCGCCAATTAACCCAGTTGGCCAAGGTGACCTGTGACACTTGGGGATGGTGGTTATTTCCTAGTTTAATTATACTGTAATGGCGGGAAAGATTTAGAATTGGTTTTCCTTTGAAACTGTGCCGATATGATGTACTCAATAAAGAAGACCTTTGAGAAGTCTCAGAGTTACCTGATTTGCTTGGGTTCATTAGTCGGAGCCTTGACACAATGATTCCCAGCTTTTGCAACTATAAGATATCTGGACTTCAACTCCCAGAATTCCCCAGACATGCTTTGCCGATCTAACTTCTTTAGATTATCATTGCAATTTTTAAAACCATTGTTAGCAGGCTCTCTTTTTAATCTTTAGAACCTGACTTTTGTCTGTCAAGCAGGGTGGATAAAAATCAATGATTTTTTTAAAAAAATAAAAAAAACATTTTTTTTATTTAAATTGGATTTTTTTGATTTTTATCAAATTTATTTTAATAAAAAACTTGGGGTAAAAATCTATCGTAAGATAGTTTTCTATTTAAGATGCATAAATAATTCAGTTTATTCAGCATGCAATGGAACTTCGTTATGTAGCATGAGGCTGTATATTCTGCAACACTGGGACTATCGGTGAGTCAACAATGGGTCAAAGGAGTAGCAGAGATGACAGTTGCTCTTTAAAAATTATGATTTAAATCGAGTTGATTTAAATGAAGCTTTTTTACTAGTGATTTAAATCATGATTTAAATTGTGATTTAAATCAAATCGATTTAAATCAGATCCACCCTGCTGTCAAGTACATATTTTGTTTGTTTTTGTGGTAGAACTGACATATAACTGGTCAATATATATCATTTATCTTCCACTGGTGGCTAAAATAAATCAATAAAAGAAATGGATAGGACTTCCATGAATGAATTCTCTGGAATTGAGTTCAAGAAGACCTTGATTTAACCCTGTACTGGGTTACTAAGGCATGCAGGCATAGATTATTTTTCATATGACACTGAAAGGAACCTCGTATTTGTCGTTGTTTATCT